ATAAATAAAAACCAAAACATGATCTATGAAATGCATGCAGTCTATTCATCAGGAGAAAGAGATTGGGCTGGGGAGATAGCTCAGTGGCTTAAGTGCCTGCCTGGCAAGCACAGGGTCCTGAGTTCCATCCCTGGTATCAAAAAACTAAAAGAAGAAAGAGACCGTATGGTTGTGTCTGCATCTAAATCCCAGGTACTTCCACAGTGTACCCATGTTGGTTTGCATAATGCAGGAATGGGGGACCCTTCACGTTCTTTGCTCCTATTCAGAGCTAATGTAGGAGTAGAACCCAGTTAAAATCTGCTTCTGCCATTCCTACTGTGCAAATTTGGATACCTTGTTTATCACCCATTTCAGATGCCTCTTTTTAACATGAGATTTTATATATTCCCAACTTCTTAGGATACAATGAGTTCATATTCACAAAGTGCTAAGACAATGAGTACCTGGCATATAAGAAATGCTATTAAAGGGTTGGCAGGAGAACAAACTTTACTGTCCCTTCCAACCACCATAGAGCAGCCCAGCCTCCTGTCTCCATCAATGCCAGAACCCTGAGGCCCCAATGCTGCTTTTGTCCTGAGGAGTGAGTGGGTAAGCAGACTGGAATGGCAACAGGTCCCTCTTTCTTTGAGTCTCCAGAGCTGGACTACTACACACTTTGTTTCTTCCCCTTTTCTGAGCATCACAAAATGTAATATTCATGTGTCAAGGGATCCAAGATTGTACTTTAACATTTTACAGCCTCTTTGTAAACCTACCTTTTCAATTTTAGTGGAGGCAGTTTTATGACTCCCTTTGATAACCACTTAACTATTAAGACCCAAACAAAAAAAGAGGAATGGTCAAAGGATATCAGGTACTCCCAGCCAACTAGAGTTTCACTTCTTGAGCATTATTCAAATTAGCTCTAGGACTCATAATTCTGTGTTTTCATTTATTGCTGCTGTAAAGTAAATGGTTCTTTTATCCAAATGTTATTTCCTGGCTATTAATTCAGTAGTTATTTTGGATTGTGACACTTCTGTTTGATTTAGGGATATGGCACCTTATAAATATTTAAAAGTTGAAGATTGACACTTAGAGAAATTGAATTTGATTTGTTTTGCTAATACCTTATGGCTAGAGTAATTAGAGGTTTGGAAGGTTTAGTCCCATTATGCCTCTCAGAAGAGAAGGGTGCATGGATCTCTAGGACAAGGAATTTGGTAGTGGAAGGTTTTTCCCAAATCTTTCATAGATGAGACATCTACACTCAGCTCCTGACTTCTGTCTCCTCTTCTTTCCCTATAACCTGCTCTTGAACCCAGGATGTAGGCATAGAAACCACCCACACTTTTCAAAATACCTAAAAATGGTCATTTATGAATGGTTTCACGCATTTTCTGCATCTACAAGTGCCAGCCAGGGTTTATGGCAGGGCTCAGGGTGATCTATAGACTGGTATGATTTAACTATGGATCAATCAACCTATTAGGGGAAAAAAGACAAGGTCAATAAGGCTGGGGCTTGGTGAACCAGAGGTCATCCTACATTTTTCAACCTAATGTTCTTATTTCCTTTCCATTAACATTTCATAATGAAAAAATGCCTATATTCTTTAATTTTTAAGACAATTAAGTGAATTTAGTGCTTCTGTAGAGCGGAGGATTTATAATAGTATGAAGGAATACATTATCAATAATCTACGAGACAGGGGGAACCTGGAGAGCAGCAAGGCTCACTCCATAGCCACTTCTGTTCCTTGGTGACAAACTGTAAGAGCATTCAGTCTTCTGCACCCATTTAGAATGGACTTCTCTCCAGAGAGCAGAAATTCTTGTGCTCTTTGGGGCAGGGCCTCTATCTCTTGGGAAATGGTTTCTTTTTTCTGTTTGAATTTTAATCTGAACAAATTGCAACTATCGCAGATCTTTCTAAATACCTAGAATTCTCTATGTACAAATCCCTGAAGAAAAGTATAAAAACGAGGTATAAAAAGTAAAGCCATATTAATATGCTGAGCTGTAAAGGGCTCAAGTCAACAACTTCTGACATTCCAGTCCTACAGAAAACCCGCTACTATTATAGACTACTGGACTATATTGGATTATTTTGCTGAATTCACGAACCTACAATATTTAAATGGCAATGGAATACTCATCTCTGACAAAACTAAACAAAAAAGGGGGATATAAATGAAGGACCATTTTGTAGTAAAACACACACACACACACACACACACACACAAAATAGGATAGATACACAGCTACTTTCTCTTAATTCAATGAGAAGAAAGATTTGTGCTAAATAGTGTTTGGACAGGATATCATGTCTGCATCTTGTACTATGAATAACCACTACAAAGACAGCAATATGCAATTTATTAATTATTGTAATTGTCCTACTAACCTGTTTTGAAACTGTCTCATTGCTATTTGTTTCTCAATAAAATTTTTTTTAAAAATTCCCTGAGACCTGTGAGGGAGTAGAGTTGTTTTGGAGCTTCCTTAATGAAAAAAGACATGGCTGGCACCTGCCTGACTTCTGACATCCTGGTAAATGCAATCACACAAGAGAAGGAGGTCCCCGTGTTTACAGTCAGACCTATGCACTAGAAGGGACTACCTCTGAGTACTGCAAACTATTTAAGGTACCATTTAATAAAGATAATTCTAGTGCTTTGGTTTCAGTGGCCAGCTTGGCGGCAGGCCCAGGGCAGGACCACACAGCATGTGGTACCAGGGATCAAACCCAGGTCCTTGCACTTGCCAGGCAGCTGCTTAGACCACCGATCCATCTCCCCAGCTGAGCTACTAGAAGAGAACCTAAGAGTAAAAAGTGTTGGAAGCTAGAATACAGATATTAAGTCATCAAACCCAAGAAAGCTGAGATAAACCAAGAAAAAGATTTGGGATGCAGAAGCATAAAGGGAGATGAAAGCAACACTGGAGAAGGAAAGGTACACATCAGATGTAGGAGGCAGTCAATCCACGGTGGAGACATGCAGAAGATTGTAGGGGGAGGTTCTCTATGAAGTCGACGGAATCCCCAAAGATCTAACATTTAAAGAGAAAACTTAGACAACTGTTAAGGAGTTTCAGGGTTGATTCATTATAAGTAAATACGCAACTATGCATGTAGCAAAGAAGACAATTATCAACTCTGTAGGAAAAGTCATTATAGTACATTGCATGACTTAGCTATGAATATCTTGCACAGAGTCATAATAGCCAAATGCTGAATCATATCTAAATAAAGTATATGCATTGAGGGATTTAAAAGTTAGCATATGAAGCAGCAGAGTATGGCAGATGTAGTAGACGACAGCTTCATCTTCATCTTCATTGGTGAAAGTTTCATTGGTAATATTTAAAACAGAACATAATCAAAAATAAAATCACAAGCCCCTTACTTTGCCATAGACACATACACAAAAATCATCAAGGTGATTTGAAAACAGTTGCCTCTGGGTGAGAAAAATAATTTTGTGCCAGAAGAGTTCTGTTACTGTATGGTAGAGTATGTGTGTGTCAGCGGGTGTTTTCCTCTGTGGAAGTAGCTTGTGGAGTTTGTTTACTATTAAAATTAAGCACATTTTTAATGTTGCTTCAAAATATTTATAAAGTAAAAAATAAGGTGCTTGTGTGGGAATCAGAAACTCCCAGCAAAAACCCACACATGGAGAGAATTTCTACCAAGTTGGAATTTTACAGCTATTACCTTTTTTATTTCAAGGAGCTATGGTGTACAAATACATCAACATATTAAAATGATTTGCTGAAGGATAAGAACATTAATATTAATAAAATTATAGAAATAGTATATTATATATTTCTTAAGTATATTGCATTATATAAAGTAATTGTGGAAATTATAATTTTAATAAGATATTAACCATATAAATTCTATAAATATTACACATTATATGTAGTAAATTTATATATGTACTTGTTGTTCTTCCATATTGTGGGGGAATACCCCGTGTTGGGACTGTCACTTAGATGTATAAATTCTACAGAAGAGCATAGGGAAGGAAAGATTGATTATGTGGTTTCTGGAATGCTCAGACTGACTGGGGTTCGATTTAATTGTTCAACCAAAGCAGTTCTGGGGCATAAATTACTCCTCATGTAATTTATACCCAGGGAACAGATAGGCACATGAATACTACAGTATAGAATGGCCTCTGCTAATGTGAAAACACTGAAGAGACTCCTTCACCAAAAGTGGTCCAAAAGATATGCTACATCTGATGGCAGCATAAAAACAATTTCCAAAGGCTTTTCCCCTTCCATTCAGGTTTGTTGGGGGGCAGCTGATTGACAGCTGCCTAATATGGGCATTTTGGAAACCTTACATTGGTATCACCAGCATTACACTGTGAAGTTTGTACAGAATAAAGTTAAACAACATAGCAAAATTTATCTCTTCAATGAAACGCATGTTTATGCCAACCCTCCAAATATCTCTACAGTGTTTTATTAAGACAACATATTTTGCACCAGAGCTATGCTGTCTGATCCTTTCTGTCTTTTTTTAATAAACAGATTATGTGTATAACAAAGAACACATGCAGACTACAGCACATAAGGACACAAGAAACAAGACAAAGTGGTGTCTTCCCATCTCCCTCTCTGGAATAACAGCAATTAAAATTCACAGCTGCTGGCTGCCCAGATGTTTCTTGCATTTAGTGCTCTGTAATATGCATCAGAATATATTGCGTGACCATTGTTTTGGTAAACTAGATAGTTCTGTATCCTAAATTCTACAGACTACATCCGGTGTATATATTTTATCTTTCGATTAGCTTCTCTTCCCCTCTTGCTTCATTTGCTTGGGGCATTTGCAGTTCAGAAACAAAAGACGTTTACGGCTCAGAGTTTAGCTGTTTCAGGGTGTAAGCGCAGGTCAGGCCTGATTTATGCAGCACTGCCAATAAGCAGGGGAAGAGAGCAGGACACAGGGTTTTAGAAATCTGGTGGACCTGGTTTGACTCACGTCTTTTGCTTTTTTAGGCAGCTAACATCCCTCTGGTGTCAGAACTGGCCATTGGTGACATGCATTTTGATGACTTTTCCCTTGATGTGGATGCCATGATCACAGCTGCTCTCCGGATGTTCATGGAGCTGGGGATGGTACAGAAATTTAAAATTGACTATGAGGTAAGATGTGGTCTTGGGTGATCCAGGGAGCACACCCAGAGCAATGTGTTAGATACTCTGAAAGGCGGGTTCTTCAAAAACCAAGCAGGGGTGATTATCCCCAGCCTTCACACTCACAAGAATGCCCGGAGATTTGCGGTGATCTGCTGGTTACACATCTAACGGCCTGATACAGCCTCTCCTCTTCCATTCCAGACACTGTGTAGGTGGCTTCTCACAGTGAGGAAAAACTACCGAATGGTTCTGTACCACAACTGGAGACATGCTTTCAACGTGTGCCAGCTGATGTTTGCGATGCTAACTGTGAGTGTCCCGCTCAGTGGTGGTAGAAGGCCACCTTGCCTTTGTGGGGACCTAGCGACCTTCTCTTTTATGCTCCCATTTCCCTGAAAAATTGCCATGTGACTATTTTGTGGGAGACCTTACCTGTCCTGTGTGTATGTATTTGAAAACAATTTCCAAACTTTAAAGGTGTAAGATCATGGACACTTTGATGTAGACATAGCCTTCGGGTGAGAACTTGAACCTCTTTTCAGTGTTCTTTCTTAGTAAAGTGGTTCTCTTATGAGAAAAATGCTTGGATGTTTAGTGTCATCTTTTTTCAGAGGAAGTGGAGAGGAGGAACTGAATAAATCCCCCCTAGATGAGGTGCTGTGGCCTGCTGGAAATTCTCAGAAGGAGGAAATCCTGAGAGAATGCTTATTTAAGAAAACACCCAAGGAGCCCACTGGAGAAAGAATGGGTAGGAGTTGGTGCTCTCAGTTTGAGAAGTACAGTAGACTTTAAAGCTGTGCCTCTGGACTCTAGCCCAGGGATGGTGGCGAAGCTGTTTTATGAGACAAGGAGAGCACTGAGCCAGAGGCAAGCCTTGGAATTAAATCTGAAAGCAAATGTTTGTGGTAAAAATTGCAGCAAACTTCCACTCAGGCCCTTTTACTGGCAAGAATTATGGATTATTTTCCTTTGACTTCCACTTACATTATTAAGCTGTCGTCAGGGAAAATGGTCTCTGGTTTACATGTGTGAGTAGCTCTGGCCTCCTAGTGACATATGTATAGGTATAGTCCACGTATGGGAGTCTCTGTAAACATGTTTACCACACCAGAAAGAGAATGTGACTACTGGGTTTTAAAATATAAATACAGAAACATTGTAACTTCACACCTTAAAGAGTAGACATGAAACAGGAAATTCGAAGTACGGTGCATTTCCTTTGGTCCAAATCTACTTCTCCAGGAAAATCTTCCTGCTCTTCTCTGCCTATTCTAATCCTTTAAGGTACTGATCTTATGCCAGTTTTTTTACAAAGATTTTTCCTTTCTCCCAAAGCATCAATAATTATTTTTCTCCATACTATACAGTATAACACACCTGTCTGTCTACTAAGTTACCAATCTTTCATTGTCCTCTACAGTAAACTGCATAAGGCAAGAGCCAATCTCTTATTCTTTCAACAACAGCCACATGTATGCTAAACACATGTTTAGCAACAGCCCTACTAGGACCATGAACTTTGTCATGTGCTTGGTAGGTCGGCAGCAGATGTATGCCAACTGGACTTGAACTCAAGTACTTATATGGTAGATGAAGAGGGGAGAGATAGCTCAGCGGTCTAAGTGCCTGTCTGGCAAGCACAAGCACCTGGGTTCAATCCCTGGAACCACATATTGTGCTGGCCCTGCATGTGTAGCAAGATCCTATACCAAATAAATTTTAAAAAGGATATTATATGGTGAATGAAGGTGGGAAAGCATGCCACATGCCAGTAGTCTCAGCACCACGGGAGGCTACAGGAGCCTCACAAATGTGAGCCCAGCCTGGGCAGTTTAGCCCAGACCCTGTCTCAAATTTTTCGAAATGGCTGGAGATGTAGCTTAGTGTGAAGGAATTGGTTCAATCCCCAGTACAGAAAAAGAAAGAGAAGGAGGAGGAAAAGACAAAAGAGAAGGAGGAAGGGGACGAGATGGGCCAAAATTTCTTCAGTTTCTACTCAGGAACTTGTCCTGGGGGTCCTCCTCTGCTTAAGGACCAGATAGGCTCACCTGGAGACCTGAAGTGGCCTCGCCACTCGTCACACACACTGTCACAGAAGGCAACCTGTCTTTGTTAGGCGGAGGATGCCCAGAGTCACGAGGCACAGTGCCAACAAACACCTCATTTTGATCTTCCTTATCAGATTTCAGTGGAACAGAAGCATGAACTATGTGTACAGAATTAATGTGTGTGACTCACAGAGATCATTCGCTTATTACCTGACAGTTTGGAGAACCTGTGGATTTAAGGAATTGTCAAAATAAGGAGGCAAAAACTTGGCTCAGCAAAGGAAAAAGGATCGGCTGTAACACTGAATTATCGATGTTGAGATGGAGACAGACATTTTTGAAGTCTTACAGTAGTTGAGATGTGGGAATCTGCCAGGGCAACAGGTTGGAGGGGAACCCTTAGAGCAAGAAGAAACAGCTACTCAGTTTTTCTCAGTGAATATTCACTCATTTTATGGACCATCTTGATACTTTTCAAGCAAATGAGAAAAATAGAACTGTCACTTTATGTGGCCGCCATGGGCATCTCATGCCTCAGAAATTTCAAGAGTGCAGCTATTTTCACGTGTGCTCAGCAAACGAAAAGGACTGTCACTGTTAAAAAAAAAAAAAAAAGTTCAGGTTTTGTTTCTGTATTCATGCTACTGCAAAAATAGAAAAGTTTGCTGTTAAAGTTCTCTAAGGGGAGACCAAAAAAGCACAGTGAAGAATATTATTTTTTCATCCTCACATTGAGAAGCGTAGCCACATCTGGAAAGGTTATTTTCCACTCATTATATTTTTCTGAATTTGACGAAAGATTACAACATTAAATGTTGTCTCTAACATATGCGTCTTCCAACTTGACAATGGACAGTCTGGTTAATCTGAAGTCTGTAATTAAGAAAGTAATTATGAAGAGAAAAATATTACTGGATCTGAGTAGATGAAAATAAATTTAATTTACTCATCAATTCTAATTTGTGAAGTATTAGGGCTGGGAATATGGCTCAGTGGCATAAGTGCCTTCTTGACAAGCACAAGGTCCTGAGTTCAATCCCTGGAACTGCAAAAAAAAATTCTAATTTGTGAAGTATCAGTTCAAGCTACAGCAAAATGATGAGCAAATTATTTCCATGGATGGGTACCAATGTTTCAGACACCCCTGAAGACTACCAGGGTCTTTGGTTACTTTATTATTATGCATGATTATACATGTAGTCAATTAATTTCATATTTATCTACATGTGAAGAGTTAGAATCAAAATTTTATATTAATATAGAAAGGAAATTCTCTACACTAGTCTGGGTCCCAAAGCCAAGACACACGCATATTTGGTAAATTTTCCTCTAGATGGCGCTCCAAGGCAAAGTTTACCAGCCAGTTGCCAAAAAACACGATGGAAAAAATCGTATCAACCTTCCTTAATACTGAGGCACACATTCCATCGCCAAATAAATATTTTTCTAACAAAAATGGCAAACAAAACCAGTCTGTCTGAAAAGAGAGCCTGCTATGAGGACAGGCCCAGCTTAGGACGGCTGCCTGAGCAGTTTCTCCGTGCCACTGTAAACATGAGGTTGTTTGTTGTCCTGCGCCCATTGTCTCTGCGGAAGGGAAGATGTACAGTTGCGTATCAGTGCCGGGCAAAAATTTTGGCACTGTGAACAAGAAAATTATAAATATATGCAACAGCTTCTTAAGCTTCAGCTCTAAAATATTGTCACATGTGGAAAATAAATTTATTGTCCCAGGATTGCATTTTGCAGGAGCGTTCAGGCTCATATATCTCAGTAAGAAAGCAGTTTTGTCGCCTTAGAAATTAAAATTGTAGCACAGGCGATTTAGTATAAAATTATGGACCCTTCGTTCAGTAGGAGTCCTACTGATGACTTAATCTCTTGCTCCATGTATCAGGACTGCATTTATACACATTTATACAATGAAAGTGTCAGTATTTTTCTTTGCTTTTAAATAGACAATCAGATAGCTAAAATTAACCAAACTTTGAATTCTTTCAATAAACACACCAGATCGTGCCAGCTATTCTTTGTAATTAAAATAAAAAATAAAAACTCATAGATCAATGCACTATACAAATTTTCTTCATTTCTGGGCACATGTAGAATAAATATTCCCTTGAATACACCCACAAGGAAAGATGATAGACATGTTTCTTTTATTTATGATGTAGAGCAGATATAGAAAAGCACTATGCTTTTGTTTGTATTCTGTGAGATAAAAAGGCACGTAATAGTGCTAGAGTTGCAAAGACATTTTTCAGCTTTATGAATGATGTATGTGCTCTGACAGATTTTCCGGTGGTGGGGGAGGGGGGATCCTTAAGTGTCAGTATTCTTTACTATCCCATAAATGTACTCATTAGCACTTTGGGCCATGCCCTGCATCCTGTAGGGGCTCAATAAAGATTAATTGAATGAGTGAATTTAGTTTAGGGAAATAGTATTCAAGGAACCATGTTACTCAGTGTCCAGTTTAAAAAAAACAAAACAAAACTATAAAATGATGAACAACTATCATGGCTAGGAATCTTGTTTTTTCTTCATATCACACTAAGGTTCAGCAAAAGATAATATGGAATATTGTGATCTTGCAGAGTTCACTGGGTATGAAAAGAGAAGGGCGCATGATCACATTAAAATTTATGGTGGTGCTGGCCGCATGGCGCTGGTGGGGAATTGCAGTTAAGCACTAATAATAACCAAGTATCACAGCAAACACATTGATGCCCCCTGACATTTACTGGGGGCTGCTTAAATCTTCAGTGTGGAGGTAGAATGTTTAAGTCCATATTTGTATTGTCAACAAGGTTATTTTCAGAGATAAGCCAAGCCATTTTATTGATAATTCAAGCTAGAGAGCAGAAGGGATGTCTAGGGACAAAATCCAGCCTATCCACCAGCTTGAGGGTGACGTGTTGCGTGCAGTTGTCAGAAAAGCCCTTGATATTTGAGGTACGAGATTCCTTCTGGGAAAAGATCGAAGAAGAACACTTAGAATTCTTTCTCTTTCTTCTTCAAAAAGGCAGAGCTGAGTCTTAAAATAAAACATCTTCAATCAAAGCCAAAACTCGATTCACAACAGAAATCAAATTCCTTTGTATATTATGCCATTGGAAGATACAAAGAGACCTAGATGTTTTATTATAATAAACAATGATATTTGCAATCATCACACATAATTTTTACACTACACTTTTTTGTCAATATAAATAGTAACTCGTCATATTTACTTTAAAATACATGGCAGTATTATCATAA